CCTTCCCTCCCCCGACTTCCCAGAACCCATTCACGGTATAAATCTATAAATAAAACAAAAACAGTCTAAAATATATTTGAAAAAAGAATAGAAAATTGATAACATTATTATCAATTATCAACATTTATTATTATTTTAGACAACAAAATGAAGAAGCTTTTTAAAATAAATGCTTGATCTGAAGAGGCCCCGTGCTATTTTTTTAAAAAGTACTATTCTTTTAAATAGCAGAGAATAACTATACTTTCAGAAAGCACATCAATTTTAACAGCATCTGTACAAGTACAGTCTAAAATATAACATTACAAATTGTATATTTTCTGTACTGTCAGCAAATTGCTGAGAGGCAGATATTTTTTCCTTGTTTTCCTCTCCAAAATCTAGGTGTGTCTTATACTTCGGAGCGTCTTATACTCCAAAAAATACGGTATATGAAGGAAGTCTTGCAAATTCTGTCCAGTCTGATCACAGGGATTCTTCCTTCTTTAGGGTCCTGTGTCCTTTGGAGAGGTGGCCATCCATTTCAACAATGAAGAATGGTTGCTGCTTGATCTCAGCCAGAAAGACCTGTATCAAGAAGTCATGTTGGAAACATCTAGGATGGTGGCTTCTTTAGGTAAGGGTTCCTCTGGAGGAAAATTTAACTCAGGGCAAGGTGTCACTAGATATTTAATTTACAACTTAGATCTCTACCTAAATTTCATCTCTTCTTTTTTCCTATTACATTAATTAATGGTCTTCTAAATAGCACAATTTTATTTAGAAGAAAGAGATCAGTGTGGTGATCAGAAATGATTGTCTTGTGGTCATCCTTGTGCCCTGGGTCCTTATTGTGGAGTAATTGAGGATGTTTTTGCCTGTTGCAGTTGTCCTAATCAGCAACAAATTTTGTCTTGCTTTGTGTTGCAATGGCATATGTTGTCTCATGGATTGCAAGTTGGGTGCGTCATAGTTGAGACAATTTGTGGCCCAAGTCCTGATGTCAAGACCTGTTCTTGCATTAAATTTTTAGATTAGATTATTCTAATATATTTTTGTTTTTCTCCCCCCACAAGCATTTGATGTGCAGAAGGGAAATGACCGAGAGAGGAATTTAGTGCCATTGCAAATAATCAAAACTGAAATTCCTGAGGAGACCTCTTCAAATAAGCGGGGAAGGAAGAAACATGAAAAAAAGTACAATTTGAAAGAAAAATCTCTTGAATGTGTGGGAATGGATCGCTTCCTGACCCAACGTGATTCCAAAGAAAATACGGGGAAATGTCACAGTAGAAAAAGATTCAGATCAAATCCCAATGTTAGTAACTGCAAAACTGGAGAAGGCTCTAACAGAAATAATCTTACTTCACATAAAGTGATCCAGGCAAGGGAGAAGCCCTGCAACAGTGTGGATTGTGAAAAAAGTGTTGGGTGGAGAGGTAATTTAACTTCTCATAAAAAGATCCACACTAGAGAAAAGCTCTATAAGTGCCTGGAGTGTGGAAAGAGCTTCAAGTATAAAGCCTATCTGAAATCCCACAAAAGGATCCATTCTGGGGCAAAACCTTATAAATGTTTGGATTGTGGAAAAAGGTTCAATGTAAAGAGTTCTCTTACTACTCATAACCGGATCCACACAGGGGAAAGACCCTTTAAATGCATACAGTGTGGGAAGAGCTTCAGAACTAGTAGTTATTTGATGTGCCACAAAAGGATCCATATAGGGAGAAAACCTTTCAAATGTGTGGATTGTGGGAAAAGGTTCAATGTAAAGAGTTCCCTTACATCTCACCAAAGGATACATACTGGAGAAAAACCCTTTAAATGTATGGAATGTGGGAAAAACTTCAGATGTAGTAGTTACCTGATGTGCCATAAAAGGATCCATTCAGGGGAAAAACCTTATAAATGTGTGGATTGTGGGAAAAGGTTCAGTATGAAGAATTCTCTTACGTCCCATAAAAGGATACACACAGGAGAAAAACCCTTTAAATGCATACAGTGTGAGAAGAGCTTCAGCACTAGTAGTTACCTGATATGCCATAAAAGGATCCATTCAGGGGAAAAACCCTATAAATGTTTAGACTGTGGAAAGACCTTCAGAATGAAAGTTCATTTTACTAGGCATACATTGATCCATGTGGGAGAGAAACCCTTTAAATGCATAGAGTGTGGGAANTAGAAAAGATGAATTTGAACCCTTTCCTGTTTCTATTCTGTCTCTCTCCATCCCAGTGGACAAAATGGAGTCACCGTTCACTGAGTCATCTCCTTCTATTGGTGACACGGAAAGAATTGCCGGATTCCTGACTCAGGTAGGAAGGGAGAGATTAGCCGCTAGATCTATGGAATTCCTTATTGGTTTTATAATTCTGGTTTTAAAAAATGCCACATGGCAGTTCATGTTGCCTATCCCAAGTAAAGCAGAAAGGAGATGAATGGTTAAGCTAAATCTCTTTATGGTAAGTATAATTTTGTTTTTCTATCGTTGGGGAAAGAGATAAATTGCTTTGTATATCATCTGCATCTTGATGTCTGGAAGTATCCCCCTAGTATTTTCACGAATGTTCATGAATGGTTTTTTTTTTCAATTTAATTTTTTATTAGTTTATTAAAGTATAAAAACATGGAAATGTAAGTCAAGAGGAAGGGGAAAGGAGGGGGTATAGTATAATGGGAAAAAGAAAAGAAAAAGCATCTATTTCCAACTCTCTTTTGGTACATTAGGACCACAACTTTTTGCTTTTACACAACATAATGTGCAAATTATTTCTATCACAATAAGCCTGTCTAGTTTACAAAAAAAGAATCAAAGTTTCATTTTTTTTTCCTCATTGCAAACAGAAAATCCAAAAGCATTTTCAAGCTAGAGACAAAATTAAATATTTCTTGTTTGGATAAAAGAATCATTTTCACCATCTCAGCTTCTCATTCCTTGGGGAAAATGATATATCATTCATTCTCATATTTTCAAATGTAGTCCATAATATTTTACCAACTTTAGAATATTGTTCAGCATTACTTAAAGAACCAGCAGACCTGTGTATACCTACATACTCATTTTTTAAAATACAAAACTAACTTAAAGCTTTCTTACAGTACATACATCAATTTTTAAAAAAATCCATCCTAATTAATTAAACCATATTTAAGTCATTCCTCCAGCTTATCTTCATAGAATGGATTCTTTTTCTTCTCTGCCGACCCTATCAAGTCTCCTTTCCTAAAGAGGTTCTCTGATTTATTTACATCCATTAAAAAAGTCCCAAAGTTGTTCTGTTAGACGTTGTAAATTGGTCTGAAGCAAATCTTCCCCGATTAAATTTTCCCTCACTGAAATAGTTATCATGTTTTTTTTTCTTGAATTCTCAGCCTTGTTAATGTCCATAAAGCAAAATTCCCAAACTTGACCTCTTAAACATTGTGAAACTACTTGATACACATGTTTCAGTCGCAGTGAGAAGATTGTACTCACACCATCAGAGTTGAACTCAGATTTATATTCTGAGGTTACAGTTAGGTTGTTTGCATTATCTGGTATTTGTAAAGTTGAAACAGTAGATTGATAATTTTCTACAACTAGTTGTATTTCTTGTTCTATTTTAATATCATCTATAGAATTAATATAGTTTGGTTGATTCACAAAAGGGAGAAATCTTCTCCAAGGACTGATCAAGAATCTGTTTTATAACCGACACCAGTTTAAAATTAGCCATCCGTGGCTCCCTATATTGTTTATTTATTCATTTAATTACCGTATTTGTCAGAGTATAAGATGCACTGGACACACCAAAGTTTTGAAGGGGCAAATTTTTTAAAAAGTAGGTAGGTACATAGAGGGATAGAGAGGGAAAGAAAGAGAGAAATACGGTAGATAGGTAGGGGAGAGAGAGTAGTTAGGTAGGTAGATAAAGGGACAGAGAGAGAGAGAGAGAGAGAGAGAGAGAGAACGAGAGAGAGAGAGAAATACAGTAGGTAGGTAGGGAGAGAAAGAGGTAGAGGGAGAGAGAGAG